AAAATTTTTTTACAAAAAAAGCATTGTGAAGTAAAATGAAAAAGAGATTTTGCACTGTTTCTAGGTCACTAATCAAATAAGTGATGTGTGAAATTGATTGTGTGAACTTGATTGTACAGATGGTAAGATGATCTTCCACTGAACCTCAAGATGCTCTTTAGATTATCTCAAATCATGCTGGAGAACATGATCATCTGGTTTTACACAAACTTGTGGAGTATATGCAGCTCGAGTGCTGCTATTATTAAAGCAAAACCAAGGCACATTAAATTCTAGGACATTCATAGTCATTTTTACTCAAGTAATAATGTAATTTGTAATGCAAATGAGAAGAAAAATGACATCCAAAATAGAAGCATTTTTACTATGGTCTCAGACACTGTTTATGGTGCCACTCAAAGACTTAATGTTAATGTCTTAATGCATCTATTTGTAGTATTTTCAGTGTAATGCAGCTTGAAACCAGCATCAGCATATGAATAATCTATTTTGGCATTTAGCTAATATAATTTACCTGCACTTATAGTGTTCATTTTGCTTCCATCTGGTTGGCTGACATTGTGTTCCTCTCGATTTCCTTATAAAGAAATAAATTGGCTCTTTAAGAAGTGACAGATGTAGCGGCAGCGGGGGATGATGTGATAGTCTGTCGAAGTTCTGGGTTTACGATCAATGTTGAGGCGTCCAAGTCATTTTTGGATATCGCTTAAATGCCACTGAAACCAGCAGAGAATTATGGGCCCATCATCATGGCAGTAATATTGCACATAATGACTGGTCCCCAAAGGCATACGTCTTATAGTCTTTTAATGAGATTTTAATGTCCATTAAAAGTATTCGCTCATTTACTGACTGAAGATGTCATTTTATCAGTCAGTTGTAGCTATTGTTATAAATGCAGATGTGCCTGTGCAAAGCATTTTTAATGAATGACTTATGTTGTCATCTCGTTGTCTGAATGGCTGCTGCTAAGGCTAGCTGTCACTTTTTGTTACATAAAGTATTTTTAAAAAATATTTCAACTTTTCTTGCATAGGAAAAACAATGCAGTCTCAAAAGAACACTTGTGACAATTTACCCCGGTGTCCTTTTTTAATGAAAATTTTATTTTGTTAATCCACATTGCGTAAGGTGGACTTTTTTTGCAGGTACTTTAGCAGGATTAAGTATTTAATATTAGAAAAAGGGGAAAAATATTTTACTAGCCCATTTTTGACACAGGATATTGTCTTATTTTTGTGAATAAATTGGATTACAGAAGCACAGGATAACCTCTGAACTACGAGCAAGGTGGTATTCAGGTCAGTGAACAGCTTACAGTCAGAGAACTTTTTTTGATAAACTGAAGATTTGACTTGAACTCAGGCATATTCTTTGCAAATGTTTGTTTTGCCAGAAGTTTAATAAAAAAGGATATGCTCTGTCTTGGCTAACCAAGCGCCATGGACATGAGGACTGTAGGTATGTTGTTTAAAACAAGGATGTGGGGATTCAGGCTTAGAATTATAGGACACCGAAATGTCCATCAGCATGTATCCTGAAGATAAATTTTCCAGCTCAATCTCTTCAGGTGTCCATTAAGTATCAATTTACATGATGGTCTTTCAAAACAAGTGTGTCCTCTAATCTTGTGCAGAGAGTTTTCACACCGTTCCTGCGATGGAAGGCTCTCTGCGTTCCCTTCTCTTCCCCAGCTATGATTGAAGTGTCTAGCAGTGTTTGTACTGTATTATTTATGCCAGTCTTTCTGAAACTAAGTTTCTGCAAACCGTTCTTGAGTTGATGGCGTTCTTATGACTCAGTGTCCTCTGTACGAGTGTTCACTGTACAAGTATAAAGAAAGTTTCCTAGTTGTTAAAGCATTTTTTTATTATAAATATCATGCTAAGTAACATTTGGCGGGAAGTATTTTGCCACCATTTGGCCAAGGTCACCAATTTGAAGGGACCGTGGTCTCATTTTTCTCCTCCCACCCCCTTCACCTTTTAAGTTAACCCAATATCAAGCAAAGAAAAACACATTGCTGCAAATAAAAATAACCGTTACATCTCTCTCAGTAGGGAATACAAGTGCTGGAGAGAGATAACATGGTTGATACATGGTGGGGCTGCAAAGTTGGAGCGACGAGAATGTTCCACCTCACATTTGCGTGATTTTATCTGATTACATAAACATGCAGGGGAATTTTTAGCGTCTGTAATGACATGAAAAAGTTGATGTGCTGAGAGTATAGAGGGAGAGAGAGAAGAGTTTCAAGAGCAGGGAATGTTGATTGGGTGGAGGGGTCATAAAATATTGAGGCCTGTTTTTGTTTTTTTCCTCCCACCGGAGTGCATATTTTTGGCCCAAGCGAAAGAGCCATGAGAAGATTTCTAGAGATCAAAAACTGTCCATTTCTCTTCCCGTGGCATTCTGGGATTTATGGTTAGTGTTTTATTTAGCAGTTTTAGTTTGTCAGTTGTACCACCTGTTTATTATCAGAACATTTTACAGTAAAAACAGATTTTAAAAGCTCAGTTAGGTTGGTATATTATATTTTAGTGCTGAAGGCATTGATTAGCTTGTTCAGGTGTGTTTGATTAGGGTTGGAGCTGAACTCTGCAGGACTGCGGCTCTCTAGGACCGAACTTGCCTACCCCTGTCCTATGTCATTCAGTTTTATTAACTTACATAAGTGCCATCCCATAATGCATGTAACATTGTTACCATATTTTTTATGGGAAAGTTATGACAGCCACAGCTGTCAGGTTTTTGTTACAGTCAAAAACAGGTCAAGCAATCCCTTGTAACGTCCTGCGGATCCTGTTTTCGGATCTTCTCTCACCTCTCACTCAACATTACAAAAAACCTGCAGCAAAATACTGCAACTACTTTAACTGTTCTGGCTTGTACGATGTTCTGCAGTTTCATAAGGGCCCGCACACATGCAAACATTTACCCCTCACGCAGTGTTGCGGCACTCTTGTTAAAACTTCATCAGACGAGACAATCACCCAAAACAAAGCATTCCCTCGCTTGAACTCCCTTCAAAATTCCTTAAAAGCATCATGTCACCCATGAACAACATTGTGTCTCTTGATAAAGCATTCAGCTTGTCTCCCATCTGGCGAATATTGCACATCCTCCATTATGCATTAACTCACTGACCACAAAGAGATTCGCAGCAGCCAGAACTCGCTGTGCCAGGTCATTTTAATCATGGTGTTATGAAAACTTCATGAGTTTCTGTGTTTCTTTCCCTGTGTTGTCTTGTGCTAACAGCGTCATTCAATATACAACAGGATACAGGATATTTACCCACCTCTGGGAGACTGACAACACAAATCCCTTTAGATGAAAGTCAAGAGTATAACCTGCTTAAAATAGCTTCCTGATAGGCTGTTGCTGGTTTGTGTGCAGTGTTGGAAAATGTTACTGTTAAAAGTATCTTTGTTAAAGATTGTGCTTTTTGTTTAAAACTGGTAATGTTATTAGTATACTTTATCATTAAGGTTTAGTCAAAGTAATACATGTACAATAGGTTACTTTGTTAACCTAATTTTTTAGGTTAAAAGTTTTTTAGGTACTTTGTTAACCTAAACCTTTGTTTTATTAAACTCTTTTGAAATCACATTATGTACATGTTTCTAACACTGTTTTTATCTATTTTTATACAGTAGTTAGTTATGGTCCTCAAATTTGATTGGCTAAGTGACGTTCCAAGTGTGGTGAGATACAGTACAGTATAACAGTACTAAGAATTTTCCATTTTTGGATCACTACTGTCAGTAGGTCTTTATTAAGAAGTCATCGGAATCATTTACTCAGATGATTCATTCAAACAGATTCATTCAGAAACCATTAATGGGACTGCATTTATAAGTGATTCATTCAGAAGCACTGATGCATTCAGGATTAAATCATAGAGCTGCTTTTATGAGTGAGTCTTTTAATCATTTACACAACTGACTCAGTTCAGCACACTGATTAATTCTGGAATGGAAGAAGTCGCAGTCTTTATGAGCAAATCAATAACACTAATCCATAAGGAGTAAATTAGATAACTGCCTGTATGGTTGAGTCATTGAATCATTTATACAGCTAGTTCATTCAGCACACTGATTCATTCAGGAACAGAAAAAGTGGTGGTCTTTATGAATGAGTCATTGAATCGTTTTCTCAACCAGTTCATTAAAAACACTTATTCATCCAGGAACTAATTAGATGATTACCTTTATGAGTGAGTCATTGAATCAGTTTTTTTAAACTAATTCATTCATAAACACTGATACATTCAGAAATGAAACATTCCTTTTTTTATGAGTGAATTATTAAAATATTAATTCAAGAACACCACTACTGGGAGTTTTTAGGAGGTTCTGCTGTGGCAGAGCAAATATAGATTTCATAACTGTGTCTGAAATCTAAGTTACTCAATATTAACTAGTTTATTGATCTGTTGTATAAAAGCAATATCACCAAAGCAATATTGCTTAAATGTACTGTAGACTGACACACTGAAAAGCAAATGGCTTGGGATGTCTGAAAGACAAATAGTTACAGATATCACCCGTTAATTAATACCAGTTCGATATAGTCCCAACGTGTGAAACCTTTAGCTCAGACAGATAGCTGCTTGTCTGTCTTTATTCACCTGTGGCTGAGCTCAATATCCCATCTGTCGTTGCCTATTCTCCCGTTCAAACAAAAGCCTTGGCTGCAGCGCTGTTAAGTAATTTGATTAGGGTTATTGAATGAATATTAGATGACCAGGGCTCTAGCCAATACATGCTGCTGAACTCACCTGTGGGCGCGTGGCTTGTTGCAATTTGGAAAAAGGTCCAACACAAAAACAGCAGTTTAAATTGCTTCGGGGGTTGTTTGATTTGCCTCTCAAACAATGATAATGTCTTAACACTAAGCTCTCAAAGTCTCTTGGTCCCATTGCAAATGTTTTTATGTCTGGTTTTGGCTCGTTCACGTGTTTATTTATATTTGATTGTCTGTTCTTTGGCCCACAGGTGTATTGAGCCTGCCGGACAGTCTGAACTTGCACCGTGACCAGCAGCGAGCAGGGAAAACTGGAGAGGGCCATGCCTACAGCCAGGCTGAACTCCGCACCATTGAACAGTCCCTCCTGGCGACCCGCGTTGGGAGCATTGCAGAGCTCAGTAAGTTCTCATGCCGAGAAATGTGTGTTGGTGTGGTTATAGGTTCAACTGTAACCGTTCAAACATTTGGGGTTGGTAAGATTTTAAAAATTTGAATTTGAAATAAGTCTTTTATACTCACCAAGGCTGCATTTATTTGATCAAAAATGCTATATTGTGGAATATTGTGAAATATTACAATTTAGAATAATTGTCGTCTTTTTTAACATATTTAAAAATTTAATTTGTTCCTGTGATTGTAAAGCTACATTTTCAGCATCAATAACTCCAGTCTTCACTGTCACATGATCATTCAGAAATCATTATAATATACTGATTTGGTGCTCCATTATTAATAATAATGCTTATTATTATCAGTGTTGTGCTGCTGCTGCTAATTTTTATTAAAAAAAATTTGTAGAAACTGATACCATGATTTTTTTCTGGATTCTCTAGTGAATGAAAAAAATATTTTTTTTTTCATTCATTTGAAATGGAAAATGTCTTTCCTGTCACTTTTGAACTAATTATTAATTTAAAAAAAAATCATACTGACCCTAAACCTTTGAAGGGTACTGTAAATCCTCAGGAGAAAATGTCTTGTACTTTGTAAAAAGGTTTATTAGCAACTGCTTGTACATGTTGGTTACTCAAAATGTGCAGGTTTTATTAGGGGGAGGGACATTCTCATTCTAGAGAGCATTTGATTGGAGGAAAATCTGTGTAGTGCAGAATGAGTCATCAGTGTTTTTGGTCTGTTTTTCTGAGAAGAGAAAGAGTTTACATTTTTAATAATTTTTTTTTATCTGCTAAAAGCGAACATTGAGTCAATGTTTAAATTTTGTCAAAATATTTCTCCTGGGCCCTGTGAAATTTAGCAACGACCCTGGATTGGTGTCCGTTCTGTGTCAGGTCCCTGAGCTATTTAACATCTGGATGATCCACTGATTTAGCTGTTTTTAGTCTCTTGTGTGGGTGTATGAAGCCAGCGGTCAGCAGCTGAAAGGCCCTACCCTAACTGAGCGGGGTGTGCCTCCCTGTAGTGTCCACTGGACGGTCGTCAGCTTGAAACAGCTCTTTGTATATTTGTCTTGGTAATGGTGGTTAGCCTGTGTGTGGCAGTGAGTTTCAGAGCCTGTCCGTTCTGCATGCAGCCACGGTTATTTCATAATCATAGTGAACACAAACAACACCCAATAAGTCAAGATGCAAAAGAGAACACCATCATCCACACTGATTATGTCTCCTCAAGTGTGCCTGCCAAATGAATACATGTGACCCCACTGAGGAGGGGAAATTTGATGTGTGCAGAGGGACTTGAGTAAATTACAGAGAGCCAGTGACCCTTCTGTCACTCTAATCAACATTGCGTTCTGCTGGGAAACAGACTTAAGCAATGTGAAACAATAGAGCAAGCACTGCAACCAGGCTATTGCTTGCTTGTTTGGTTTATTTAATTGATTTTGATCACAAAAACCAAGAACATTTATGGGTCATATTTAGAACTATATATTAAATTTAGCTTTAAGACAAATTCTTAAGTAAGCAAAACTGTTTCACCTTAATACATAAATGTATATATAATCGTTTATATGAATTGTATATTTATTAGTATTTATTATCATATTTTAAACTAAAATAAAAAGAAATCGGACATTCCAGTTGATTAATGTATGCAATCATGTGTGTGTGTGTGTGTGTGTGTGTGTTTGTGTATTAAAAGCATTATATTACAGTATTTTTTTGTACACCACATTCTATTTTTTTAAATAGTGCTCAATACTCATTTATATTGAATACTAAATCGACCTAGACAGGCACAGCATATTAGGTGGATTATTTGGAAAGCTGCTGGGTATTTTTTACATTGCATGTATGAAGTATTAGCACAGATATGAGATTGCTGTCATAATGCAGCATTGGTGATGTAACCATGCAGAATATTAGCTGTTGTGCCAACAGATGAGGCATAATTATCAGATGTAATTGTCTTTTTCCTCCTTTCCAGCCTTGTGTACACAGTGCACAATAAGCATTTAAATATTGATTGCAAACCCTTCAAAAGCCACCTAATTGGCCGTTAACTAATTATGGCTCATTTTCACACTGTGTAACAAAATATAAAAGCCTGGATTATGCAATAGATTTTTTTGGTTGATGAAAAGTTCCCATGCATATTCATTTTCCTGTTGAATCATCTCAGTTTTGGCTATGTGAAATATCGTTTCTGTCTACTCTAATTATCTCACGGTGTCCTTATCACAGACCTATAACTGTCAGTGGGGTGTAATGCAAAACAGTACTTGTTAGTGAGTGGCCAGCATTTTTTATGAGCGTCCCAGCGTATCTCAGTATGAAACCACATACACCGCTGATGTTAAAAGTAAATTAACTAAGAAACATGATACACTGTGGGCAGTTAACAATGAGGACCACCCATTACAAACTCCACTTTGCTGAAGGCTTCTATATATATATATATATATATAGAAATGCTTTTGTCATAGTGATCACTAGTGTACCAGTGACAATCTAAGTAAACAAGCAATGTTTCCTGATGGGCTTGAGCCACCCGGAAACACACCAAGTGCCACTTCAGTATCAGAGCAGCTGTTAAATGCTAATTCACACTGCACCAACAGACACGTTTGCTGGGTTTTGTCGTGTTACCTCTGTCAGCATCTGTTGCTCTTGTTTTTGCGGTCGCAGATTGTCTGAGATGTGATGTACTGTAAACTGGTGATTTTCAACGTTGGTTGGTGTCTGCCAGTGTGGCGTAAATTAACCTTTAGAGTCATTTTAAGTCATTTATAAGTGAAAAATTAAAGAACAGAGAAAATTGGAAGTATAAAAAGACAGTGGTTATTCAATTAGGGGCACATTTGACTACATAGAATCCAATAAAACTTATAGAAATTAGTCTAATGTGCTGGTTTGGTACTCAAGAAAAAAAAAATTTATTATCAATGTTTAAAACAGTTGTGCTGCTTAATTTTTTTATGAAAACCAGGATACATTTTCTTCAAGATTGTGAATAGAAAGTTCAAAAGAAAAGCACTTATTTTTATTTTCATTTATTTATTTTGTATTTTGTAACATGTCTTTACTGTCACTTTTGAAGTTTTTTTTCTTAAAAGTCATACTTTCCCTTAAAGTTCTTCTCTAAAATAAAGAATGATCACTGATGTGATAATTAAACTTATTGTGAAAAGTTCAAAGTCATTTTTTAAATAGCTCTCTTTAACTTCAATGTGATTTAGGCTGTCCACCTCTTTTGTGAGAAATGAAGGGAAAAAATGAACAGCTCCAGTTTTTACAAAAGACACACCACTTGCTCTTTGGACTGCTTAATAACTGTAGTTAAGCAAAGTTTAGAAAAACTAAGTTTATGAATTTGCAAATGTGGATGCTCAGACATTTTTCTCAATTACTTTCTCTCTGTTTTTTAGGGCACCATGTCCTTTCAACCTGACATGTCTATCATTTCTTCACCACTTATTTCTACCTGCTGAGATACACAATTTCCCCTCTGACTCCTTGACAGCAGACTGTGGTACAAAAACACGGCTATTTGCCAAACACACAATCGCATACACAAGCTTACATGTACATTTAGACATACACAGCTCCTGCCAAGTTGATCATCTGTCTGAAAGCTTTCTGTCTAAAGGGCACATGCTCTGAACTTGACTTAATCCTTGTTCAAGCATTTTTGTTAGTAATCTAAATTATCAAACAGCACAAAGAGAAGATGCCTACTTGATGTTTTGGTGTAGAAAACAGATCATAAGACAGGAATAAATATGTCTCATCCTTTTTACAAGCTGAAGTATTCAGCCCTAAACACCAAAGAGCAAACTGTAAAAAAAAAAAAACCCAATGTGCAGTAGTCACCTTTCAATAATCGCTATTAAAAGGGCATTGTAATTTAACAATAGCTGGAAGAATTTATTCTAATTAGTTCGCCTTACTAGCCTGCACCTTATACAGAGCATTGTACATGACATGCAGATGATTCAAGTGCATTATTCCATCGCTGTCAGATTTAATGTAAGCCTCCTGACAGTTAAAGTTTGACAACACTCATATTGCAGATAACTGCAAACTCCGCCAATATGGCACATAATTGTGTTTGATTGTAGCGTAGTTAGTATAGCATACATCAGCATTAGCACATAGAAGAGCTGCTTTAGTTTAATTTACACTGTAAAATAATAAAATAATAAAAAATAATTTTGGCAGCTGTGGTTGCCAGAATAATTTTGTAAAAAATACAGAAAAACTGTAAACATTTACGGCCGTAAATTTGACAGTATAAAACTGTAATTTACAAACAAGAAAATTTGAATGTAAACCAGTAAATTCAACAATGCACACTGCTATTAAAATCTGTTTTGTACCTTTAACATATTGACAACCACCATCATAATGCAGGTGGTAAAAGAGAATCAAGAGAATCAAAGCTCATCACAAGTAGCTTCACCACAAGCAGAAGTATATACTAATATATAGAAGGTGCACAGAGTCATTCATGCAAACACAAAACACCATCATGGTAACACACATGATACTTAAATAATGCATTAAACTTTCATTAAACAACAGAAAATGTAACATAAAGCCCAAATATACATAACTAATAACAAAAACTATTT